CAAGCCTTTATAGTAGTGAGGTATCGAAAATCGAACTGGAAAATTTAAGTGTTTTACACTCACAAAAAAGAAATCTATCATCTATAGGTATTTGAAGAACTTGTAGCATTCCACCATAGTTTAATTCTTCGTATTGTTAGCCAACACTGGGCAGCTGTAGTACATAATTGAACAGAGTTGTTTAAACATTTGTTTTACAACAAGTAAAAGCTTAGAATGGGCTATTCTTTCATTGGGTGTGTGTCTGTGAGCCAGACGAGTTTCAGAGAATTCCACTCCTCATCAGTGGAATTGCTATGGATACAGGGATATAAACATGTTCATGTCACAATAAAAAATGTCAGTAATCCTCTACTATCTAGAAGTAATAAGACAGCTAAAAATATCGAACTGGTATATTTAAGTGTTTTACACTCACAAAAAAGAAACCTATCACTCTATAGGTATTAGAAGAAATTGTAGAATTCCACCACAGTTTAATTCTTCGTATTGTTAGCCAACATTGGGCAGCTGTAGTACATAATTGAATAGAGTTGTTTAAACATTTGTTGGTGGTAGTGTTACACATCATCACTATATGCCTGTTATGCACCGATTTCCTTTCTTGAAAAAGGCTGAGATTCGTCAAATGTTTAATGGCCCTGAAAGTTTTACTCCTGATGGGTTACATTTTCTAGGAGAGTCTCCTGAGGTATGGTAACTTTTCCTATTATATTCAAGTATGTGCTTTACATACACATATTCTTTTTCTATTTTGAACAGTTTTTGACTGATATTTTGAAACTAGTGCTAGTAAACTATTGATGAAAGTACATTGTGTCTTAAAAAGTACTTGTTAATTTCACTGTTTTTCTTGTACTTTTTCATAGTTGAGCAATTGCCTGTTTTTGATTTCTAGTTGTAATGCATCAATTAAATATATATGTCTTGAAATATAAATGTAAGTGAAATTATTTTTATTGAAAAAATAACAGCTTTATATCTTTGTATTTATTAAAGAACAACATATTTATCAGACAGTGTTGTAGTATCAGTAATAGCTTGAATAGAAGTGGTTAAAATCCACTAGTAACTTAGAATTATTAAGAACTTCACAAAATTTTGTGAAGTCATAAAATGGAATATATCATGAATGAGAAAAGAATCTTCAGTTACAGTATTCTTTCAGATATGTAAAAAAGAATATTAAAAGAGCCATCCATCTATCTTCTTGAACATGTTTACCATCTGTTTTTTAAGGAATAATTCTTAGGTTCTTTATTTAAGTATGTCCTACAGTTTTTGTGAAATCTCATATAATTGATATTTTGTGTAATCCTATGGATACAGGGATATAAACGTGTTCATGTCACAGTAAAAAATGTCAGTAATCCTCTGTGATGTTTGCTATATCTTATTTATAACCAATAGGAAAAGAAGATATTAATTTAGTGATTTACATATAATGCTAACTCATTTTTCACATCAGCTTTAGAATTATTCAGTGTATACATTCAAAGTTAGTGCTGAGCTCTGCTCAACTAGCTGAAGGAATTATGATTCTTCCCTCAGACTTCTAGCTTAGTTAGAAAGCCAGTTAAATTATAATAGTTATAGGAAATTGTAAGTTTTATGCATGTAATTATTTTGTTCTAAATTAAATGTTTGAAATAAATAAAAATTCATTAAAGTACAAACAATAGTCCTATCAAAATTAAGGTTAACTTTTAAGACCCACATACAGTAACAATTTTCCTTTTTTGTATATATATTTTTTTATTTATTGTTATAAAAGTAACTACAATGTAAAAATTAAAAACTTGTTAGGTTAAATAAGAATAAATATACGAAAAAAATTAAATACAAATATTTCTCCACAAGGTATGCAGACAAGAAGCTCATGCATTATGTAATTCAATACTTTAACCAAAGATATGCATTTGCTTGGTGATTTCTAGTTTAAGTTGGTTCAGTAGTTAGACAACATTCAAAGAGAAATAAAACAACAAGCTCAACATTCACTTTAGAAATGACAGGAGAACGGGTATGAATAATGTTGATGCCAAATTTTATATTGCAAGCATGATATTCTACACTAAATTGTTAGGAATTAATCACACTATTATTCACATTTCAAAATGTGACGTAACTTAAAGAATAAAAATGTAAATTTACCTTATTTTATTGTTGAGTGGCTCTTAGCATGACTGAAATGCTCAACAATTACTTTTTGCAGTGGGTGGTATAAGTAGCTGAGTGCTTTGGTTCTGAGTGAAACCAAGAGTGCAACAGAATTAACCTTTTTAAAGTCCATGAAATAATTTAGGTTCGTAGATTAACTTAAACTTTTCCTGTCACTGGGGGCAGGTATTTTTCTTGTGTCAGATAAAATATAAAGTTTCCCTGAAAAAACTTGACATTCATATAAGAGGTTCTAGAAGTTATGCAGATGAAATTTGAAAACTGAAAGGTGAAAAAAATATTTTTTATCTTAACATCAAAAGCACCTCATACTAAGACTAGTCTGAGTCAGATATTGACTCAAAAAATTCACACACAGATTTTTAGTAAAAATACTTAATTAAGCAATTTAATTTTTTGTTTACAAAAGAGTTGTAATGATTACTAAAAAGCTTCCCAAATTTTGTGAAGATATACTTACTAGATTAAAAGCTATGGTATGTATAGTTTCATAGTTTTGTGGTGGTTGCAAGATTTGTCAAACTTTAGAGAGGGTTAATCTAATTCAGAAAAAGGTAGTCACTTGATCTCTGGTCTCTTACTCCTGTATTATGTAATTATTATTCCACAGAAAATAGTACATTGAAATATTTACCATCAAAATAGGTTTCTAATGTTCTAAATATTTCCTATAATACCTTTGAACATGTTTTTACACTTGAAGTACAAATCTCAAGTGGTTGAAGTTCTAATATATGAAAGCAGCTTACTGACTGATTACCTTACAAAATATTTATATGGATGTTTTGGTTAAATAGTATTAATACTTTGGTAATACTTAAGGAGCTGAACCTTTCAGTGCACAGACTGCCTCTGTATCTTATTTATGTTGCATTTACACATTTCTTTGAAGACTGAGGGGATGGCATTTCATCACAAAACATTTGATAGATTTGATAGATGCTCACTTTGGTAAACTTATTGTAGGCTGTGTTTTTAATTTAGATGTTTGTACTGTTGTTTGCCCAAGGGTAGGTTTGATGCTACATGATGAGCTCATGGCTTAATTATCAGAAATTTTCTTTAAAGTTTTAGAACAACATGGACGATACATAATGTCTGAAGTAGTGAGATAGTATTTGATTGAGTTTGTAATACTGTTGGCCAGTTTGTCAGCTAGTTCAATTTTGTGAATATTGAGTTTGTGTTTTAACAAAGAAATAAATGTTTGAAAAGTAACATAGATACAAGAAAATTAGCATTTAAGTGACTGTTTCATTTTTATACTAACTGTTGTAAAAATTTAAAAAGGTGAAATATTTTCAGAGTGTTTATCAGGTGACAACCTTTCTTAAAACCTAGTTACAGACTAACTTTGTGAATATATTTTAGTTGAAGGTGTAAGGTGATGAGATTATTCACAAAGGAAAGTGTCCAATACTGTTCATTTGCTGTAGGCCTTTCTGTTTGACAACTTTTTTTTATGTTACTGATATTTTCAGTACCATTGTTTTTTCATCTATATATGTTGAAATAGAATAGATTTACTAGTATTTAACAGGACAGCATACCTTATGATGTGTGAAATCTTCACTGCTTACACCTTTCTAATAAAATAGTATTGGCTTGTGGTGTGTTGAGAAAATTACTTGCAAAATTGTTTTAAATTCAGTTACAGAAAATACGTAAACAACAATATGAATTTGAAACATTTGTACAATATACTACAATAACATAATCTAAATTGTAATGTGTCTTACAGTCAAGTGAGCTAGAAAAGCTAAGTTGCATATGCTATCTTTATTTGTATCATAACAATATAGAAATAGTTTTTATATTTAAGTAAACACTGTATTAGTAGTTTCGGTTAGGTGTCTTTATATTAGTAAAAATGTTAGATTTAAACTCCATATTTGTCAGTTATATAAATTTTCAATACAATGATTTGTTCATTAACTTATAGGTAGAAAATCTGTTCATTGGTGCTGGGATGAATTCCAGTGGTATAGTAACAGCAGGTGGAAATGGTCGAATTTTAGCTGAACTTATGAATGGAGAGAAGCCATTTGTTAATCTTACAAAACTAGATATCAAACGATGTTTAGGCCACCAAGGAAATAACAAGTTCCTGTATGACAGAACAGTTGAATTAGTTGGTATGGTATATTAAAACAACCATTTTGAAATACAAACATTTTTATAATTTTTCTACATAGTTTCTTACAGATTTTATAAATCAAATATAAATTTAATATATTAAAAAGTGTGAAAAATATTACTTATGTAACTTGAAATTACAAACACAAGACTATTATTAATCCTTGAAAAATGCACAGGTGGTGTTTACTGCATTCATTGTAATACACATGGGACCAACTATATTACAGAGAAATCACTCATGCTTTGTCTAAAAGCATAAAAGAACACAAACATGTTATTAAAAATGGATGATAGAGTGCCTCTGCCTTAGCTGTACATATGTTTTAGAACATAATCACCCTTCTGATTAGAAGAATTTTCGAATTATTGTAATGAATAAAAACAACTTTGAACATACTTTTCATGAACCATATTGTATTTTTGAAGATAACTTCTGCATGAAAAGCAACATTAGCACAGACACACTTATCAAATATCAAGTGCTCACACCACAGAACAAGCATTGTTTTTTGTTAAAATGTTAGTAGCCATTGAAGAAGATATCAATGATGTTTGAAACATCAAGCTTCAGTTTATAACGTTTGTTTGTAGACTTCAATTTTATTATTTAGTTGTATAAATAGTATTTCTCAAACCATTTTTTAATCAGGTGTGTCCAATAATTCTATATTTTAGCCTTACTCAGATTTATCCAAAACAATTATCAAAGCTTATATAATTGTCATACATTGATACTAGTATAGCTTTAGTTGATATATACACTTAATAGATACACACTACAGGTAAGGTTAAGTACTTACAGTAAAGGAATGGTCCTCGGATATCGATTGTTATGGGTAATAGCCTGTAGAATCACCTAAGTATAATTATTAATTAGTCCCAATATAGAATTAAGCAGAAAATAAAATTGTGACTGCTATTAAGACTGTCTTCCTTCTGTTAAAAGTGTAATCCCTAATAAATTAATCAAAGGTGTAATTATGTCACAACTGAAAAGATTTATACTTGATTGTAATAAATCTGAATATTTTTTTATTCCATGTCAAACTATTAACTAAAAATTAGGGTGGTTGTTGTTAAGTCAAAGATACACAATGGGCTTTTTGTGTTTTCCTACCACCTGATTTTTAGTGTGAGGTTTTGTATGGGCTAGATTATTTACAGTAGGTGTCTGTGACTTCTTTGGGATAAATTTAAACAATACATGGGCAGCACACAATCCACTTGTTTTAAGATGATTTATTGAAAACAAGTCAAATGTACGTACAAATGTTTGTCACACAGTTAATCACCTCAGTTGTATCCAGAGCTTTAAATGAATATAATTGTCTCTTTGTTAATAGTCCACACAGGCTGATTCAGTTAATTTAGAACCCAGTTGACAAGATGAATTGTTCTTTTCTATTTTGTTATTACAATACAATCTGTTATTATTACCCTTTAAAAGTCATCACTATACACACTTCATGGCTAAACATACAAACACAGTCTAGATCTATTTGATTATATTTCTCACTAACTTGGTCACCTATATATTGCCCAACTGAGGCCTAGAACTTACTACAAACTACAAAATGTTATGATGTAACAATACTCACTTGAAGCAACAAGAAAAATTCAGAAGGTTTGAGTAACATGATGTCAATTCACAACAATTGAACTTCACAACCAATGATTCATAAACAGTTACATAAGCAAACTCGCCATAATTATCGTTTTTAAAATAACTTACTTTAAGACTCATGCTTTATTACTATCTAAATCATAACTCTCATATTGAATTTAAATGAAACAGTAGTTTATATCTAGTATCTAGTGTATATCTAGTAGTGTATACAATACACAACAATTTTGTAATAAAAGTATATTAAAAATATATAACTAGTAATGACATTTAATATACTAAATAGTATGACTAACACTGTTAATTAAAGTAACAATATATAGATAAAAATAGTATACCTCACAGCTTGTTTGGTATTAATTTGTTTTTTTCATCATCTTACATAGTTTTTACTGTTAATTACCATTTATTGACTCATATTCTACTGTTGTTTGGTTTCATGATCTTCCAGTTAGGGTAACAAATATGAAAAATCAAGATTTTGTTAGTTTTGAAAACAACACATGCATACCAAAATGTATGTCTTGGTACAAACACTTCGTTATTATACTAACATAATAAGTTCTACTGTCATTTGTAACATATTCTTAGAAAGATTTATGTTGCAGTGCTTTAACAATTTTTCGTTTATTATAAAGGAATCCATTATACCATATCATTTCCACATCAAAGTTTTTCTGAATCGGCACGTCCAATGAAAACCTCCAATCTTTATCCTTTCCACAAAACAAATGGAGCTGTTTTTGGAGTGAAGAATGAAGTAGAGTTTCCACTTTGGTTCAGCAGTAAAGGAACAGGTAAACTTGTGATAACTTTCTGACATTAGTTTGAGAAATCACTATATTAGGCATGCATATGTACATGTACCTGGTTTGTTTTTACATTATTGTTATGAATAACAATAACTTGTAAAAGAAATTGCCGAGTTTATTGATTCAAGTGTAGGTAGGTATATCAGTGTTTTTTTTTGTTTTGTTTTGGTTAAATCTGCCAGAAGTAACTGTGTTTTATCTTTATTTCTCTTTCATTGCATGCTCAACAGTATCTAAACAATAAAAAACAACAGCCGATTCTTTGAACACCCTTTTGAGTATAATATTTTAATTGTATTATTGCAAAAGTGGTCAATCCATAGCATGCTTGCCAAAAATGGTGCATGAAATGAAAACTTGTGGCATGGCTGTCATTTAAAAAATATCACATGTCATAGCACAAGCACAATATTTTCTTGAATTTCCACACACAGTTGAAATGTGATTAAAATACATTGTGTATTGTTAATTATTTACTTAATTTGACTGCTTGAACCCCTTTCTCTATTTCTATTGTCTTCAGTTTGATGTTTATACTTTTAAGAGTCAATGTCACTTTACTCAAAATTCAGAACCTAAAGTTGGCACAACTGTTAAAAATGTTGACCACCCCTTTTTAATGTAATATCTGTTAGATATACACGACTGTTTTAGATTAAGTTTAATGCAAATGTTTTAATTTAGATAGTTTAGTAAGGGTATCATATTTAGTTATTTTTAGATGTGATATTTTATGATAAGTTTTGTTATCCAACTGTTTACGAATTATACATTGTGTGCAGTTCAGTTGTTGTGAATTAGTGATTGTTTACAGTAGTGAGTGTCAGATTTTTATATAGTGGCCAGATTCTTTACAGTAGGTGTCTGTAACTTGTTGGCAATAAATTTCAACAATAAACAGACGGCACACAATCCACTTGTTTTAAAATGATATATATTCAAAGCAACTCAAACATATATACAAAAATTTGTTACACTGTTGTTCACCACAGTTGAATCTAGAGCTTTATATAATTCACTTTTTTGTCAAACGTCCACACAGGCTGGTTCAGTTACTTTAGAATCCAATTGACAAGACAAATTATTTCTTCTCTCCTTTTTTATCACAATACAATTAGTGATGAATTTTCTTGCATTACCCCATGGGTTACCAAAGTTGTATCCAGAACTTTAAGTAATTTTCTTTTATGTCCAAGTATACACAGGCTGTTCAACTACTTTAGAACTCAATTGACAAGATGAATTATTCTTCTCTGTTTCTGTTCTTACAATAGAATCTGTTATCATAACACTTTAAGAATTGCTGCTATACATTCTTTATGACTAATCATACAAACACAGTTTAGATCTGTATCTGTCACTAACTTTGTCTAACTTTCTTCCTTCCTCTCTGTATCTGCACTTATTTATAACATGCAACAGAAAAATCTAGACATATCTAGCCCTCTTGTGACAACAATATTCACATAACAAGAGAGACGTAGAAGTTTTGAACAAGATGATTTCAACAATATCAAAAAACCTAGTACAAGAATTAAACTGCATGCACAATGTATGACTTGTACAGAGTTACATAACAAAACTTGTCATATCTATCGCTTTTAAAATAATTAATTTTAACACCCTTGTTATGAAACTAAATAATTATTAAATATTAAATCATTAAATAAACTAAATAATAACTTTTAAGATAAACAGTCTCGTACATCCAACAGTGAGATTATTGCATCAGAATATCTAGCCAGTATCTACAGTAGTAAACAGTGGTAGAAGAAGATGTAAACAAAAGCGACAAAAGGTCTATATATGCACATCTGTAGTGGTGACAGAAATATTGTAGAGGTCACAACCACATTATATAACTATGTCGACTGACTTTGATAAGTGGATAAAGAGGGTGAGCGACTTGGACTCAAAGATGGCAAACTACAAGAGTTTGGTAAACAAAAACATAATCTAGAGAGAGAAGAGTGTCAACAGAGAGAGAGAGAGAGGAACATAGGCAGAGAAAATAGGAAGAAAGAGAAAGAACATTAGCATGAAATACCAGCCCAAAAGGAGAGAGAGGAGAGACTGGAAAAAGAGAGAATAAGAACACAAATTGAGATTGCAAAGCCTACCCAACAGAAAGATGAGGGACCCACAAATTACAATGGGGTCAAAGCCAGCTGACTCAAGTTGCCCAAATGTGATGAACAGAATGGCAACATTGATGCTTTCCTGCAAAGATATGAAAGATTTGCCCAAAGTCATAACTGGGACAAAGGTGACTAGGCAGTCTGTCTGTCTTCTTCTCACAGGAAAAGGCCTGCAAATGTATGCGGAAATGACATCAGGAGATTCCATGGTCTATGAAAGGTTAAAAGTGGCCTTGCTGAAGTGCTATGAACTTACCGAAGTGACACTTTTGCCAGAAGTTCAGGGAAGCCAAACCTAACACTGGAAAAACTGTATTTCAGTTTGTGGCATGTCTATGTTAATACTTCACAAGGTGGACTGACATTGCCAAGTGTAAAGATAGTTTTGAAGGAATGGAAGATCTACTAACATGTGAACAGTTCATGATAACATGCTACACTTGCATGTTACTGTTAGTATATGGAAGCCCATAGAGGGAGTATAACTGGAAAGTCCAAGAATAACCAGTCAAAGTTGAAACTAGGGGTGGCAGACTAGAAGCAGGATGCCACCAAAGGTGATGAGAAGTCAACAGACAAAAGGAAAAAGAGATGTTATGCTTGCCATAAAATGGAGCACATTGCGAGTGAGTGAAAGTCTGTCACGAACAAGCAGCAGCAGAAATATCAACATAAAGCAGCTAGAGCTACTTACAAAGGTGGTGTAGCAAGAAACAAGAAAAGGGTGAATGTTACCATGGGTGCTGCTGCCAAAAGAAACAAAATGGAGACAATTCATCAGAATCATCACAAGATGGAAGTGCTATCACCATGATTAAACAATGCATTATTGATGGTCAGCTCAAGTTAATGGATGGATCAAGAGTGCCGGTAGTGATTGGAGCATGTGACAAACATTGAGAGGTACCAATAAACCACAACATGCAGTAGGTGGAGGCTGTGTCAGGGACAAGAAAGAGATATTGGATGCAGCAGTGAGAATCATTCTAGTATCTGATGAGCAGATGATGGACAATTTGTGTGTACTGATTGATGGGACAGTTTCCCATAGCAAGAATATAGATGGACACTTCATACTATGTGGGAGACATTGAGGCCATGAAGGCACCCATCAATGACTAGGTGATTGGCAATATACCAGGAAGTAAAAGTTCGGAGAAACCAGATGGCAAGAAGACTGATCAGGCATCTGCAATCACATTAAGAGCTCAAAAGAAGAAAAGCACACAAGACATCAAGCCCCTGCAAGTCTTAAAAGGTGACATCTCGAATGTAGGTCTACAGGAACTGAAGGAAGCACAGAAGAAAGATCATTCACTGCAGAAGCTTTGGAACAATGCCCAGGAAAAAGTTGAGAACCAAAGCAAGGGGAAAGAGAACTATAGAATACGGGCCAGAAGGGAGTGCTGTACTGGATCTATCAAGGCAGTTCTACTGGGGAAGCTAAACAGATCATGGTACCAACAGAATAATGGACTCAAGTGAGGAAGTTGGTTCATGAGTCAATTATGGGAGGACACCTAGGAGCAAAGAAGATGGCAGACAGAAGCACCAGTAACAGATAAAAGATAAAGTTTTACCAAAAACAAATGTTTGAAATGTATTTAGGAGGTTTGAGAGATTATGCAAATGAAATTTGAGGTTTTTGAGATGAAGAAAAGTATTTTTAATCTTAACATGAAAATCATTTTGCACACGCACTAGTTCAAAAGAAGACTTGATATATTCATGGACAAATCTTTTTTAAGTTTATTAAAAATACTTCACTAAAAAATCTGATTTTTTTGCATATGAGACTTATAATGTTTACTGAAATTCTGCCAAATTTTGTTAAGATGTACATACTATATTAAAAGATAGTAGTATCAAAACTATAATGATGTTAAATGAGTACAAAGTGGTCACATGGTGGTTAATTCAACCGAGCCGGTGCCAAGAGAGTTAAAGGCTGAGTGTGGCCCATTGGTTAGCATACTGGACTGTGGATCCAAGATTTTGTAGTTAGCACCTTGTTACTGCTAAAAAAAAAATATTATGTACTTTAGGTCTATGAGTGCATCATAAGAGTATTGGTAAGATTGGTAAGTATTTGATTAGAGTAGCCTGTGAGTTAGCAGTAGTCTATCACTTCAAAGTTAGGGACAGCTAATGCAGATAGGTCTAACATGACATTGAACAAAATTCAATAAACAAACTTTCTATTTAAAAACTGCATTAATTATTCAGTGTTGCACATCTTATCACTTAATATTTTGTCTATTATATCAAAGAATGCTGTCATTAGTACTTTATACCTTTTGGCTATAGATGTTTTACTTAATTAACAATATGTTGATTCTTATAGTAACACCAAAACGCACATTTAAAAAGCCTCCTTTTTTTGATGATGTTGGAAAGGAATATAATATTTGTAAGAATGGAGTTGGTGTCATCGACCTGACAAGTCAATGGTCATTATGGAAGCTAGAGGTTAGTGGCTCTTTTATACCTATGTATCCCTGTCACATTACCTGTGCTTGAGTTGTTGTAAGTTTATTAAATTTTTTATTTTGTTCTTTCCTTTCCAGTATTATTTATACATACGTGTACCATATGTGTAAGCATATTTGAAAATTATATACTGGGTTTTTCCTCACTGTAAATATAATTTATGGAAGTTTTTACATGCAGTTTTGATCTGTGTTTCTTCTCTCTTTGCTTCTTTACTTAAAATTTCATTATTAAATCAGGTAAGATTATAATGTTGCAAGTGAACTTCATTACTTAAATAAAAAAAAATTCACCATATTATTCTTTCCACTTTCACATTGGAGCGTATATTTGTGTTAAAACTAATTAGTAGCATATGAAATATTGACTTTGCAATAAATTAAAGTAGCACTTTATAAAACCTGAAATTACAAGTTAAAGTCTCTGCAAGAAGAATAAAATGTTTCAACTAGCTTCCTTCATTCGTACCTAAGAAACAGAAGAAAGGATTAACATGGTATAAAAAGTTAGGCAATTTCCTGGTTAATCAAGGATCAATAGCAAGCATTTAAGAGTACTAAAGTAATGTCACAGAAGTACTGTAGGTCTCCAGTCCTGTCAGAAACTAACTGAAAGCTTCATATAAAACCAGTTCCTTTTTTATTTAATGGTCTTTCTATTCAAATAAGTTTCTAAAGTGATCAGAGATACATTTGTCACCCTAGAACATGAGAAATGTTATTAACATCCGTTTTTAGCATATCATGTTTTGTTGACCTTAACTAATATTTTTCTTTTTATTTATAGATTTTTTTTTCACTTGTATACTGTCTCCTGTGTTTTAGAATCCTTTTTCATTCTCAATTTATTTTTGGGTTGCAATAAAGTTGTTTGGCTAAAATGGTGCCCATTTTTTCTCTCGAAGAGATTATATGATTTATTTACTTGGATTTGATATTCCACCGTTAATTGGCTTATTTTAGATGCATGTGGCCTGTATTTTGTTATTTTTTTGGCAAAAGTCTGAAAAATGGTAGAAATCTAAAGTTGGCTTTGCGCTCTCTTTCAATATACAACAAAGTATTTTTTAGATTATAAGTAGCTGCATTCTATATAACAGTAAATAGCAGTTGTTTTCTCTACTGCACAGAGAGGAGTTTGCAATTGATGCTAATGATATGATGATGATGATTCCATAAGCATTACAACCACTCTTTCTTCCATTAATTGTGTTCTTTGTGATGGACTAGATATGTAATGTTGCTCTACATCACAATTCCCAGTACAGGGGATTTTTTTGCAGTACACCAATGTCAATGTTCTCCTCCCTCCCTCTTTCTTCTCATACTTCCCAAAGTCCATCAATCATTTGAAAATTACAGTTTCTAAAGGCCCATTTGAGCAACCTAAAGGCTCAGAAGTCCATGGAAGATGTCTGCGAATGGTAGTATGAATTCTCATTTTTACTCGTATCATGTGGAGGAACTGGTATATTTACTTAGACAAAGTAACTGCACACTTTGTCTTGTTGGAGTCAAAATTTATTGGCATTAATCCATACAAAAATGGGATTTTCCTCACAGTATAGTGATATCTTATAGTATGAACAGTTTACCTTGATATTCTTCTCAACTCACCAGATGTATAACTTATCATTATAGCTGTAATATGCAGCTACCACAGCTTCCTTGGAAAAACTTTTGCAACATGCTCTATGTAATTTTTTTTAGTGTTGTATTACTGGCAGAATGATAGTAAATTGCCCAGGTTTTTGGAGACACTTAGGAAGATGTGCTTTGTTAAATGTGATGACATATTTCCATTTATTTTATGAATGATATTGCTCATATAACTTTCAACAGCTGGTCTTCTCAGCTGTGTGTGTTTAGGTAGAAAGTTGTAGGCATGGTTTGTGTAGACCTAAATACATATGAATTACTTTGCTTACAGTTCCAATGGAAACCCCTTCTTCAGTAGCATTTTGAGCAAAGTTTAGATAAATGCTCTTTTTTGAAGTTTGTATACATGAAAAATATATACTTTCAATTGAAAGTACTTAATAGTTAGTACTTTGGATTAATAAAATGACTTAACTGTTATATAAAGTTAACTTTTCATTATAGTTTCATATGCATTATTTCAAAAATAATGATCGTTTGGGTAAAGGAAAAAAAAACACCAAACAGTTAAAATAGAATGTTCCTAAAAAATCTGTTATATTTCACTATATTGGGAAACGTATAGTAGATGTAAAAAAATTCTGATACAGTACATTACCTTTGCTGACATAAGTAGCTATTCTTGTTCTGTGCTGCCCTCTATAAAAGTATTTTTTTGCATGCCACAAGCCTTGAGCTCCCACATACACCATGATAAGTGTGGTTCAACTGCATATCGCATGTAAATTATCATATGATAACCCTCCACCAATAGGAAGGCAACACACACTTCTGACGCATGTGACTCCCTCTATTCGATTCTAACAAATTATAATTCTTATTTGGCAGTGCTATCATCAAGATGTTTTTTGTTTGTGCTCTTTTCCCGCATTTTTTTTTTATTAATTTCATACGAAGTGGAGGAATTTTCTATATTTTTCCTACTTCACTTTACCAGTTTTAAATGACGACTTACCTTTATTGTTCTACTTCTACACAGTAGCTTATGTTTCCACTTCGAAAATGTTATCATTTACTTCCAGCACAATTACCCAGGCTTCAGATGGTTGTACTAGTCTGAGGAATTGTCAGCTTTAATACATTGGGAGATTGATTGTTATATGAGTTTATCTTTGTCGGGCCTCGAGTTTGGATGTCTACACATTTTGAATATGGTCTGCCGACTTTGGCCATATAGGCTGTTATACTGTAATAGCTTTTTGATTATTTTTGATATTAATATTATTATTTATAGTTATTTGGTTTCAATAACATACATTTACTTAGATTTGTACCTACTTCTTGTACAGTTAGGGTTTTTCATTTAAAGTTTAGTGATATCCTTTGTAATACAATGTTAGATTAGGCTTACCTGTCACTCATCTTACTGGTAAATTGTAAATTAGGTTAAATATGTGGTTTCTTCAAGAGATATCATCTACTACATTTTTTATTGTCAATATACAGTTACTTAAATTTATAATATAACAACAATTTCATTTTCGTAATTAATTATATTTTATACTTCTTACAATTAATGTCGTTTGTGAGGACCCCTGGAGCCGGGGTCTGTCCAACTTTCTCACAATATTGCTCGCCTTCCTCCTCAAACTGCTGACATTGCTTGGGACAATGCATATTTTGATAATTTTACTCCACCTGATTATGACTTGACCTTCCCAGGCATCTACTGCAGAGTCTGTTAGGCGTACCTCAGCCCCTTTTATACACATTTCACAGTTTATTTTCCCTCCTTTTTCCAAATATTTTGGTCCATGTTGGGCATTTTTGTATCTCTTTTGAGAGATGGTGCTGGCATGCCTCATGCTCCACAGGCTTTGGTTTTACCTTAACTTACTATCAAGCAGCTTGTTTTTTGTTTTCTTGCTTCTTTGCACTTAGAATCGGCCCGGCATGGCCAGGTGGTTAGGGCTCTCGACTCGCAATCTGAGGGTCGTGGATTCGAATCCCCATCACACCAAACATGCTCGCCCTTTCAGCCTTGGAGGCATTATATTGTGACGGTCAATCCCACTATTCGTTAGTAAGAGAGTAGCCCAAGAGATGGAGGTGGGTAGTGATGATTAGCTGCCTTCCCTCTAGTCTTACTCTGCTAAATTAAGGACGGCTAGTGCAGATAGCCTCGTGTAGCTTTACGCGAAACTCAAAACAAACAAACAAACAAGCACTTAGAATCTCTGTTGCCTGTATGGGAGACAGACACTGTTAATCCCATACCTTTTACCCTAGCCAGGTTTTCCAGTTTTTGTCTTCCTCTAATACCTCTCCTACTGGTATTGTCTGCCATGTACCTCCTTTCTGAGGAGTTCCACCTATTTTTGGGGGGATTTTTGTAGGATACCTTCCTCCTCCTTACCTTCATGTTGGAGTGATTGCTATTTTCGGCTCTTTCCCTACACACGTGGCATCTCTGCTTTTGGGATCTTCTGGGGTAAGACACTATCTTGTTCCAAGTTCGTTTTCCCTTCCACTTCTAATCGTGACTTAAGGATGGCTATTTTCTTCCACTAGTCCATTTTTTTTAGGCCTTACACCTGTGACTTTAGCATCACATTGGGTATCTGTGCTGCTACATTCGATTTTTTCTTTTTTGGTTGCTCTTTTGTCTTTTTAACCATTGCATTCTTTATTCATGTTCCATGTCTGGCACCTTCTCACCATTTACCTATCCTACATGTAAGAGTTCCTTCATTAGTCGTGTATTCTCAATACAGATTGGAGTTCTGTGTTTGATCTGTCCTACCTCAATAACTTTTGGTTCTTTTCCTTTTTACTATGTTGTTTTTTATCACACTCTGGTGGGCCATTACTCCATGACTGAGGAGGCCCAAGGATTAGTTTCATATTCTTATACCTAAGTTCAAATTTGTTTCATCCCTCGTGGTGCTGTCTTAGGTTTGTTCACTATGAGGTTGGGTATCAGTTTTGTGCCTTGCCCTTCGAGCTTATTTTGGATCTGTATGCCTTTGTTTCCATTTCTTCATCAAACAGGATTGGGACCAGTTTCTTCCTTTATTTTATCATCCTTGCCACTCTGTGTCAGATCTTTCTTAGTGCCCTATCCTGGTAGACAAAGATCTGATTTTCTTGGATGCTTCAGCTCAATCTGTTTTCTTTTGTTGATTTTTTTTCAGGATTGATTTTTCCTTCACCACATTTTGGTGTGGCTCATGTGGCATGTTCTTCCTTTTCATTTTCATCCATCTCCCATCTTTATTCCCAGTCGGATCTGGATTGCCTATGTCCTATACTTGCTTTGGGTTGCTTTATTGCCTTCAAGGCTTCTTTCCATTTCTTCCCTTTCCTGCTGCTTCATTCCCT